TTTATTATTTTAAGGGGAAAATAAATTACATTAAAACTGTATAGATCAAAGGGCTAAATAAATATATTAATATAATACGTGCTTCCTATACAATAAATGTACTAATTATGTACTCATAACACAATTATTTGTAAATAAATATCGGATCAATATTACTCTGTTGGAGGAAATACTTGTGCCTCTAGAGTGGCATGTTCTTTTCTCACTCAAGAAAGTGATTGCTTAGGTAGTATAGGAGATAAATTATAAAATTTGTGGTTAAGAGGTTAATGAAAAAGTTTGCAAAACATTTGGATCATATTCTGAAATTTAATTATTACAATTTTTTTACAATTTATATTTTGTATAAACTATTCTTTAATTAACATGTACATCTGTGTAACCTTAGAATTAAAATGATTGTGATCAAGTAGGTTATACTTACATGCTGAAAATAAAGCTTGTATTTGCAAAAAAAAAATTTTCCCTTTACAAGTCAAAAATGACATACAATTTTAACAATAAAGTGATAAAAAGGAATGTATTTGGGTTCAAAGGGCAACTTTGTTCCAGCTATCATTAATAGTACTTCTGCAACTTAGTCATATTGTTATGGTAACAATATATAATATGAATAAAAAAAAAAAATCTTGATATTAATCATTAAGTATTAATGAATCAGTCTTTAAATTTTATTAATCAAACTGTGATAGTTTAAAATAAGATCAAAGGGAAAAGGTTGCCCTTTAAACTTGAGAATTTATTTATTAATAAATATCAATATAAATTATAAATTAAAAGAAAAATACGAATAAATAAAAAAGGAGAACAAAATTAAAAACCAATTTATTCTTTAGGGATCTTCAAACATTGATTGAGTAGTGTGAAGCAAGATCATGATTATTCAAATGAAAGATCTAATGATGGATTTGTGAATTTATTTAAAGATTTCATCTCTCTAAAATCTAGTTTAGAAACAATGTTTCTATCCCTTTTCTAATAAAAATAATTAGATTTTAATTGATATATAAGAAATATATGAATTTGATATAGAATATTGAGTATTCAGATTTCCTAAGAGTATTACTCTCTATAATTGAGTGTGAAAAATATAAAAAGCAAATAAGTGAATTTTATTAAACAAAAGAGAAGCAAATCTCAATTAAGATTATAAAGAGACCTTATTAAATGCATATGATAGAAATATCTCTTGATATTATTGCATTAGAAGACAGTTTAGAAGAAAATAGTTAGTAGTATATATATTTTATTCGGTTAATCAAACATATTCAACTGTTACATTATAGAAATAATAATGAACTAGTGGCAATATGGATTTAATTAATTTATATAAATACAAGCAATGATAAATTGAAATATTTTTAACAATACTAAAGTTTAATCTCATAAAATTTTTATAAATATTATTTAAAGAAAATTAAATTGATATAAAGCAACACTTCAATTAATCAATTACCTCGTATTATTATAGATATTATTTTCAACATTTTTGATCTCTTTTCACCTTTTTCAATTATTTTATTTTTGCACAAGTTTTTCCTTCTAAATTTCTGTTATTAGCATTTTCTTAAATAAATTTGCTTCCATCTATTTATCTTTTGAAAATCTATTAAATCTTTTAACACTGGACTTTTTCCTCATAATTAAATTAATTTAATTAATTTTTCTAGAATTATTTAGTTTATAAATATTTTATCTATTATTCAGTAAATAATTTTATAACGTATTTTTATATGGCTTTATAAAATAGAATTTATTTATAATCTAATTTTTTAATTTTATTTTATCAGAATAAAATTGATTTTATTTATAAATTTGTTTTTTCATTTTATTTTTGTTTAAAATGATATT